CCATCCATCCATCCATCCATCCATCCATCCATCCATCCATCCATCCATCCATCCATCCATCCATCCATCCATCCATCCATCCATCCATCCATCCATCCATCCATCCATCATCTTTAGCGACTTCTTCCTTTTAGGGTCACGGGGGTCACTGGTGCCATTTTAATTTATTTTTAATTTTTAATTTACCCTTTATTTATACAGGTTAGGCTCATTGAGTCACGAGAACTCATTTTCAAGAGAGACCTAAATAAGGAAGCAGATGGTGGGAGTTAAGGGTCTTGCTCAGGGGCCCAGAGTGGGGCAAATGAGGGTGGAGGCAGGCGTGGGTGTTCCACCTATTCCACCCACATTTTGATGTTGACGATACCGGGAGTTGAATCTTAAATCTTTTTGATCACAGGCCCATCTTCTAACCTCTGCGCCACCACTCCCACAAAAATCCATCATTTTAGAAATAGTCATCATTTTGCTAGAGGTGGGGGACACCCTGGACAGGTCTCCAGTCCATCACAGAATGATAATTTAGGGTTAGACAATCTGAATAATCTGATGCGTTTGATTGGTAGGAAACCTGGGTACCCAAAAAAAATCATGCATGCTGGAGAACATAATACATGCACAAGGAGAACATGCAACCTCCATGTACAAAGACCCCACCTGGGAGTCAAACTCTAGCTGCAAAGCACCTGTGCTGTCCAGCTTCTCACTATGTGGACCAATGTTGAAATTATTTTGTTTAATAATCCAGAGCTTGTGAAGCATCTTAGCTAATTTGAGTGAACGAACAATCTGGACAAAAGAACAACAAAAGAATAGTCTGGGCTTCAATGTTGATGTTTAGTTTAAGCAACAGACAAGACATTAGCTCATTATCTCAAAGCTTCCCGCTCACCTTTTTCATTTGAATTTATAAGCTTGAATGGTGTATTGAAAACATTTTGATATCACCAGACACTGCTTATAAATCCGTTTTGAAACTGTGTGTTTAAGCTCCACTTGCCGCCCACCAGACAGCAGAGTCGCTGGTTGCCAGTGTAAAGCACATTCAAAAACCCAGACTGTTGTTTTAAAACAGCAATTATAAACCAGACGGATAATAGGACATGGGTCTGGGGGAAAACACGACAACGGCTTCGCAGATAAACAGTTTTCCTGCACTGCAATCCTTACCTCAGAATGCATTAGAAGTATTAATAGAAATACCAAAGAACTTGATCCAACAACAGCTCTGACATGAAAAATGTAACATATTTTGCTTTAAAAGACCTCAAAGACAAGTTTCCTTAAGCTTAATCTTCTCACATTGTAATTGTTTACTTGCTGTACCTATGATTTTACCACTACCAACATATTGATACATACACATTGTTTTGTAGCTACTGTACAGTTCATGCAGAATTTCATCTTTGAGTGTGTTAGACAGGAAAAAATATGTGAAAAAATGACTAAATGTATTTATGAATAGTCCTTTTTCACAGTGATGATGAGATTAAGGTAAAATGAACTGAAAATATGCTTAAACATATTTTTTATTTGTTTACATCTCAAGTGAAGAATCTAACAGATTAAATAAATGGATGCATACTTCACATTTATGTTGTCCAGCATATGAGGGTGATAATGGAGTCTGTTATCATAAATTCTGCTTCAATTTCTTGTCCTGAAAATCCATTATCTCAATTTGTATCCATTATTTTCACATACTGTAGAATAAAACATCCTCTCAGTGCTGCTTAACTGTGTAACATCAATATTGTTGTGTTTAGTGTTACAAAAAAAAGAAGAAAAAAACAATTTGAGAGTGCAATCCTGTTTGTTGTATCCATAAACAGTAAATGGAAATGGATAACAGGATGTCATCAAAGTCACATTTGATCCTTTGTGTTAAAAATGACCACTGGCTTAATTTGCTCTGTTCTGTTTAAGTAAGTGGATACAACTGAACGCTGATATGTAGTCATGTCTGACCCTCTGCGCTGATGTCTAGCTCTTCTATAAATGACGCTAACTTTCTTCCTAAAGTACTGTCCGGAAAATACATAGACCAGAGGGTTCAGGGTGCTGTTGAGAAAGGCCAAATATGCAGAAACTTGTCCTCCTATGTTGAGAGTGTGAAACCACAACATCTCATCCAACACTTTGACATCGCAAAGCGTGTCGAGGAAAGTGAATACTTGGAAGGGAGTCCAACACAGTAAAAATAACAGTGTAACAGCATATACAAGAACTGTGGCCTTTGTGTCATTGGCGTCATGAAAGCCTCCACTTTCCGTCCTACGAGCCAAAGCCTTGATTATATTCCAGCTGCTGAAAACAATAACCAGAACAGGGAGCACAAAGCCCACTACATTCATTAGAATCTGATGGGCAAGCTTCCAAAAACTTTCATGAGCATAATCCAGAACACAGGACGTTGTTTCGAACTCCTCCATGAACTTCACCTTTCTGTGAACTATGGTTGGCGTGCTCAACAAGATCCCCAGCAGCCATATGATGAAGCAGATCACCTTGGCATAAAGTGTCCGTCTTAGCCATCTAGCTTTCATGGTTTTCACAAGAGCTAGGTAGCGGTCAATGCTAATCATGACCAGGGTGTAGATGCTGGTGTAGAAATTGATGCCAATTATGGAGTTGACTAGTTTGCATAAAGCATCGCCGTAAGACCAGTTAAACCTGTTCAGGATGTATGTTCCCCAAAAAGGGAGGCCACAGAGCAGAAGAAAGTCAGCCAGTGCCAGGTTGCTTAAATATAGCTCCGGTACAGTCAGTCGATCTCGTTGGGCTGCAAAAACTGCCAGGACAAAGCCGTTGAAGAGAAGCCCTAACAAGGATATGATGAAGATGTAAGGGGGGAGGATGGTGTGGATCAGTTCCCATTCTGTGGAGGCTGAAGACTCTGATGGGTCAAATGAGGGGACAATGCTGCTGTTTGCAGGCCAGACTGATGCTATAGTTACTGAAGTAAGTTGCTCCATAAGCTAGGAAACAAATCATGCATAATCTGTTAGTAAAATGCTGTTTTTTTCTTAATAACCAACATTTTGTTTTCAACAAATAATCATTTTCCTCATTAGAAATAAGCATGCACAATATGAATAAGCATCTTAAGTTTACAACCACATTGTTAGCTTAACTCATCTCTGGACAAAATAATTATTCTCAGATTAACTTTCTATGCTACACTTGCATTACATTCAAATAAAGTTTTCAGATTTTCATGCTGGACTATTTTAACTGAACATTTTTGAAAAGGTGGTGTACCATCATTAATGCTTAGAACATATAAATAAACTAATATAAAAAGAAGCTCTTACCTTTGGTTGCATGAAAGCTACCTTGATTTGGTCAGAATGGTAAAGATAAAAGACACATCGGCGTCAGAGCTCAGCTGTGTACACCAAGCCTCTGGTAAGTGTACACAGCAAGAGAAGGAAGATCTGCTGCAAGTGCTTTTGTATATATCTGTGAATTCTTCCACACCCTTGGCCAAGCAGTTCAATATATCAACTTGTTTAGAAAAAAGTCCAGATTGGTTCTGTGTTACATAAAAGAGCTAAGCTCTACAGATGATGTGTTTTAATAGAATAGATGAGGAACAAACTGAATTCTATGATTAAGAGAAGAAATTATAGGTTTTGTTTATAAAGGAATCTTGCTGATGTTTTAAAGTAATTTAAAATACTAATGTTTACCCATTATCATATATGTTTTTTATGGCAATTTTTAGTCAATACAGCAGCTGTGACTTGTCAGGGCTTTGAAGATGTTCAGAGAACAGACCAGGTGAAGCCAGTAATAACTAGAGAAATTACATTTCCTGCGAAAATGCAGTGTGACTGCTTATTGCAGAAGAACTTGCTGAAAACAGCTGGAATTAGCTAAACATTGAAATACATCAAAGTCCATGCTCAAAAATCCAGGTAAAAAAATCCTACAATGTTCAGTCAGGTCATCTGGACAGTTTATTTTCTTGCTAAGATGTTTTGTCATTCATCCGTTGCTCCGATGATATTTTGAACCACTTTGGCTATGGCTGCCTCAGAGGAGTTGACTGGGGAGAGAGTGGGCCCCAGAAACCATCTTATCACCAGCAAACTATTTTTTTTTCCACTATGGGAGTGGGCTGCTTGTGGGGCTCAGTTTGTTTGTGGCTCCTCAAACAGATGAAGTCCTTTGGATGAAGGATGAAACATCTCAGCAACAAAAGAAACAATCCAGATGACCTGACTGAACAATGTTGGATGTTTAATAGCTGAAATGGAAGAACAAGCCTAGTTTAACAGAAGAAAGCAGAAAGAACACATTTGTGCTGAATTAGATTTAAATAAGCAGAAATTTGCACAAAAATTAGGAATTTAGCTAAAAAGCTGAAATTAGCAAATATAGCACCGGTAATAGCTGAAAGTAGCTGAAAAGGCAAAAAGAAACTTATACTACTAGAAGGAAGCAGAAGGAGCTGAAATGAGCTCCAAGAACGTGGCATTTACTGAAAAAGCTAAATTTAGCATAAAAACCAGCTAAATACTAGCTGAAATAGCAGAAAAAGCTGAAGTTAGCAGAAATAAGTTATTTAGGGGCAGCGTGGTGGCACAACTGATAGAGATGCTGCCTCTCAGTGAGAAGGTCCCCGGTTTAAATCCCTGTCTGGAGGCCTTTCTGGGTGGAGTTTGCATGTTCTCTCTGTGCATACCATACCTGTACCATACCATTTTATTTATAGAGCACTTAAAACAGCGACAAGGCCAACCAAAGAGTGCATGTGTGGGTTTTCTCCGGGTACTCCAGTTTCCTCCCACAGACCAAAAACATGCATGTTAGGCTGATTGGTAACTCTAAATTGTCCCTAGGTGTGAGTAAGAGAGTGAATGGTTGTTTGTCTCATTTGTCTCTATGTGTCCCTGTGATGGACTGGAGACCTGTCCAGGGTGTACCCCGCCTCTCATACAGTGACTCCTAGATATGGACACCAGTGACCCCCGTGACCCAAAATGGAAGAAGCAGGCAAAAGATAATGGATGGATGGAAGTTATTTAGGCTGAAAGTAGCAGAAATTACCATGAAAAATTTGAATTTATCTAAAAAAAGTTTAAATTAGCTAAAAGATTCTAAGAAGTTAGCTGAAAAGGTAGAACAAGCTTAAATTACCAGAAGAAAGCAGAACGAACATGTTTGCTCAATTAGGCTGAAAGAAAATTAAATGGGCACAAAAAAGTGGAAATTATCTGAAAAAAACTAAAATTAGCTGAAAATAGATTAAGAAGAGTTTAAATTTGCAGAAGCTGAAAGAAGCTGAAGCAGAACAAAATGTGAAATGAGCAGTATAACAATGTAAACACATCTAAAGATTTGAAGGATGTAAAATGAGCTCAGTTCATTTTCTTTGAGGAAGAAAAAGCAGAAAAGGCAAAATATTTCAAAAAGCTAAAGTTGCACCAATACAAGCATACAAGGTCATAGCGGGATTGTCCTGAAAGAGCTGAATGTTTTGATTTATGATTTGTTGAAGTAGATGAAAACTGCTGGATGAGAATTGCACTGAAAAATGTACAGAAGAAAAATGGATCACAATAGAAGGAATGCTTCATAAGCGTCCACAAAATAATGGTATTATTGGGGGCTGCCATTGCAATGCATGGAAGCCACCTATTATTTTAAATTATCTTATTCTATATTAAAAAAATACATATATACAAATATTCACATGCTCATAATGGTGTAGTCTGAACTTTTTCAATGTTTTACTTTACTCAGGGTTTTCTCTGTAAAATCCTAAGGCCTCTAAAATAAATAGGACCAAGTATAAGTTTGGTTAAACAATTTGATCCATCAGTCAAATGTGCACAGCCAGATGTTTTTTTCCTTCAGACTTTCTTTGAGCTCTAAAGTATTCTGGCATTATCAGCAGATGGCACCAGCTCTTCCTCAACCCTGCATGGAAACATTTTCAAAGGGCAGCTGTGGCTGAGTGGTTAGAGCAGTCGTCCTCCCAATGCAAGAGTTGGCGGTTCGATTCCACCAGCACTCACATGCTGTAGTGTCCTTGTGCAAGACACTGAACTTCTCATTGCCTCTGATGTGTGTCCCATAAGTGTATAAATGTGCCAAAGCTCTGGTTAGTCTTTGCAGAGATCTAGTAGAGTGCTGTATGAATGGGTAAATGAGGCACAGATTGTGTTGTATAGAGTTTTAGTATCTTGATAAGATAGAAAGGAGCTGTATAAGTACAGTCCATTTACCCATCCATCCATCCATTTTCTTCCGCTTATCCGGGGTCGGGTCGCGGGGGTAGCAGCCTAAGTAGGGAGGCCCAGACTTCCCTCTCCCCAGCCACTTGGGCCAGCTCTTCCGGGGGAATCCCGAGGCGTTCCCAGGCCAGCCGAGAAACATAGTCCCTCCAGCGTGTCCTGGGTCTTCCTCTGGACCTCCTTCCGGTGGGACGTGTCCGGAACACCTCACCAGGGAGGCGTCCAGAAGGCATCCTAAACAGATGCCCAAGCCACCTCAACTGGCTCCTCTCGACGTGGAGAAGCAGCGGCTCTACTCCGAGTCCCTCCCGGATGATCGAGCTTCTCACCCTGTCTCTAAGGGAGAGCCCAGACACCCTGCGGAGAAAACTCATTTTGGCCGCTTGTATCCGAGATCTCATTCTTTCGGTCACAACCCAAAGCTCGTGACCATAGATGAGGGTGGGAACGTAGATCGATCGGTAAATTGAGAGCTTCGCCTTTTGACTCAGCTCTCTCTTCACCTCGACAGACCTGTACAGCGCCCGCTTCACTGCAGACGCTGCACCTATCCGCCTATCGATCTCACGCTCTATTTTTCCCTCATTCGTGAACAAGACCCCAAGATACTTTAACTCCTCCACTTGGGGTAGGACCTCCTCCCTGACCCGGAGAGGGCACTCTACCCTTTTCCGGCTCAAGACCATGGCCTCGAATTTGGAGGAACTGATCTTCATCCCGGCCGCATCGCATTCGGCTGCGAACCGCTCCAGCGAAAGCTGTAGATCACGATCTGATGAAGCCAATAAGACCACATCATCTGCAAAAAGCAGAGACGCAATCCTAAGGCCACCAAAACGGATCCCCTCAACACCTTGGCTGCGCCTAGAAATTCTGTCCATAAAAGTTATGAACAGAATCGGTGACAAAGGGCCACCTTGGCGGAGTCCAACTCTCACCGGGAACAAGCCCGACTTACTGCCGGCAATGCGGACCAGGCTCTGACACCGGTCATACAGGGACCTAACAGCCCGTATCAAAGGGCCCGGTACCCCATACTCCCAGAGTACCCCCCACAGGGCCCCCCGAGGGACGCGGTCGAACGCCTTCTCCAAGTCCACAAAGCACATGTAGACTGGTTGGGCAAACTCCCACGCACCCTCCAGGACCCTGCTGAGAGTGTAGAGCTGGTCCAGTGTTCCACGGCCAGGACGAAAACCGCACTGTTCCTCCTGAATCTGAGGTTCGACTATCCGACGAACCCTCCTCTCCAGAACCCCCGAATAGACCTTACCAGGGAGGCTTAAGAGCGTGATTCTCCTGTAGTTGGAACACACTCTACGGTCCCCCTTTTTGAATAGGGAGACCACCACCCCGGTCTGCCAATCCAGGGGAACTTCCCCCGATGTCCACGCAATATTGCAGAGTCGCGTAAGCCAACACAACCCTACAACATCCAGAGCCTTAAGGAACTCTGGGCGAATCTCATCCACCCTAGGGGCCTGCCACCGAGGAGCTTTTTAACCACCTCGGTGACCTCAGCACCAGAGATTGGAGGGCCCGACCCAGCGTCCCCAGGCTCCGCTTCCTCAGTGGAAGACGTGCCAGTGGGATTGAGGAGGTCTTCAAAGTATTCCGCCCACCGACCCACAACATCCCGAGTTGAGGTCAGCAGCACACCACTCCCACTATAAACAGTGTTGGTGGCGTACCGCTTTCCCCCCCTGAGACGCCGGATGGTGGACCAGAAT